CTGCAATAGTGAGACGAGGGTGAGTGGGCGTGTTAGACAGTGCAAGGTCATGTTGCTATTGTCATGACGGAGACTCACGGCTCAATTGTTTACTTTAATGATTTCCTTGTCGTGTATGTATATTTATGCGCGGGTGTTTATGCATATGTATGTTTGTGTGTGTTAATGGGTATATATACTCACCAAGTGTGCTTGGTGGGTATACATGTTAGCTGTATTTGCATATCACAGCGAGTGCTACCCAAATACAGCTAACTGTAACCACTTCCAAATTACACAAGTTGTCATAGACCCAATTGATCTCATTCAGTGAGTGTTCAACCCGTTATCCTAGTCCTATCCTTTCTTATCAGTCTTAACAACACTAATCAATAATTTGCTACAGAATTAGTGCCAGAGAAAGACCGATTCTCTCTGATGAAAGTGAAAATACAATAATACATTTTCCTGATGAAGAATACAGTTGCATTCACTGATGGTTTGGTGTCATTTAACAGCGTTCTGTGTTCCCCCCCACAGACACCAAGATGAAGTTTCTATAACATGGAAGTGATAGAGGCTTTATTAATGTAGTAGATAACATATCACGAACTGATTAGAACTGAAGATACTTATAAACAAATATAATACAGTACCTTAAACTTACCTTAACTTAGTACCTTAAACTAAAATATAATTTCTTAAAAACCTAAACAAATTAATACCTTGTTCTGAATTTATATTAGATAATGAAATACCTAAAAAATAATCCATTACCTTAAAACTAATGTAATGCCTTAAACTGTGATGCCTTTTTATTAGTTTCCCAATAGCACGAAAATACCCTTTAAACTGTGCAATTGTGGCTTATATTAATCATCCATAATCTTACACCAATTTGCCCTCATAAATACTATTAATAATTATTATTAGACTCATTATATACATTATTCAAATTTAATATTAAAAACATAATACACATAATGATTATTAATCCTTATCTATAATTTATCATTAGAATTGTTAATCAGTAACAGTATTAATTAATCAGAAGCATGATTAATTAATCAGTATCTATAAGTTGCATTTAATTAGGAACATCAGCACCATTCCTAATGAACCCCCAGACTTAGGGGGAGAGAGAGAGAGAGAGAGAGAGAGAGAGAGAGAGAGAGAGAGAGAGAGAGAGAGAGAGAGAGAGAGAGAGAGAGAGAGAGAGAGAGAAATTAAGACAGAGTAAGCAAGAGAATGAGAAAATATACAAAAACATACATAAAGAGAATCTTAAGCAATAATTAAAGAGATTCTGGAGAATATAAAGAGGATGATAGTGGGTGTTTAAGGCGTCAAGACAGACACCCAGGATGGCCTTACACCAGAGCATAATGCTCCAGGGGGGGGGGGGGGGAAGGGGGGAGGGAACACACACATATATTGGCTGCTCCCAGAGTGTTTAGTCCCCGTCTAAATAATCAAGGACCCGCTAGTGTCAACATTTACCCGCGCGGGAGGGTATTTTACCCCAGGAAGAACGATACACTTCGGTTCATATTTTACGAACCGGAGGTCGTTAAAGAGGAGCAAGCAGTGGTATCTCAACAACCCGTCCTCACACTTAATACGTCTCATTTTGGACGGTATAGTTCCCAACGTTAAAAATACTATGAAAAGTCGCGGCCCACAAACACCACATTTTCTATGCCCCCGGTTACGTTTGGTTAGGTGGGTTGCTTGGGTTCATACGTTTCTGGTTAAGTTTGCACCCTGTATTAATCTCGATATAAGTCTAACGTGTATGAAAACCCTCTGGCTTCCTGTCCCCGGGGACATTGAATTATTAAACAGTTTTTGATTCGAATGGTTTGCGTTAATTTTGTCTCTCAGTTCAGTGATGGCATGCAGCTGCAAAATCCAATTGCAATGATGCACAGAACATTGGAGTAATTGTAACACAATGTTTGCCTTTGTAAATAGGATGCAAAAATGATCATGAAATCCATATACATATACACATACTTCCGGGATCAGCGATCATACATGGTGGCGGATGCCTATCCAGCCCTACATGTATATACCAAAAATACGTTATGTACCTAAACATAATTCATCTTGATTAATAATATAGTCTCCTAAGCTAAACGGCAACACAAAAAAAAATAAAACAAAATCTGTACTTCAGAGAATAATTAAGACAAAATATATTTATACAATAACACACACACACACACACACACACACACACACACACACACACACACACACACACACACACACACACACACACACACATACACACACACGCTATTACTCACAAAAGAAAATATTTGTAATAACAAAAAACATTAATCTTGTGTAGCCTGTATACGCAAACATATTCCATGTTCCCCAACGTTAATTATTCGACGCAAAAACATAATAAATCCTTTTTTAATTGCTCAAAGCGGCTAACAGATGGCAGCCACTAAATAGTTACTTGTAAATCAGACAAATCCTTTAAACCAAGCAGTACAAAACAAGAACCAATATCATACATCATTCACATAATATCCCCATCATGTATACAACATCCCCATTACTTACACAACATCCCCCATCATTTACACAACATCCCCATCATTTACACAACATCCCCATCATTTACACAACATCTCCCATTATTTACACATCCCCATCATTTACACATCCCCAACATTTACACAATATCCTCATCATTTACACAACATCCCTGTCATTTACACAACATCCCCCATCATTTACACATCCCCATCATTTACACATCCCCATCATTTACACTCCCCCATCATTTACACAATATCCTCATCATTTACACAACATCCCTGTCATTTACACAACATCCCCCATCATTTACACATCCCCATCATTTACACATCCCCATCATTTACACATCCCCAACATTTACACATCCACATCATTTACACAACATCCCTGTCATTTACACAACATCCCCCATCATTTACACATCCCCATCATTTACACATCCCCATCATTTACACATCCCCATCATTTACACAATATCCTCATCATTTACACAACATCCCGTCATTTACACAACATCCCCATCATTTACACATCCCCATTATTACACATCCCCATCATTTACACATCCCCAACATTTACACAATATCCTCATCATTTACACAACATCCCTGTCATTTACACAACATCCCCCATCATTTACACATCCCCATCATTTACACATCCCCATCATTTACACATCCCCATCATTTACACAATATCCTCATCATTTACACAACATCCCTGTCATTTACACAACATCCCCCATCATTTACACATCCCCATCATTTACACATCCCCATCATTTACACATCCCCAACATTTACACATCCACATCATTTACACAACATCCCTGTCATTTACACAACATCCCCCATCATTTACACATCCCCATCATTTACACATCCCCATCATTTACACATCCCCATCATTTACACAACATCCCCATCATTTACAGAGCAATACACCCCACCGATGAACAAAACCGCACAGGTTATTTCTGTAGAAATAATCGGAGGATAAAGACCAAGACTTACATCTCCGTCGCGTCGTCTGATGCCGCTGCAGAACTTGAGCATCCTCGAGGGCGACTTGGGTCCCAGGAGACCCATCCAAGACTCTCAAGTCAAAGAGAAAGCCTCAAGTCACACTGGAAGAAGTCCCTCGGGGGGTTTCCCAGCGGCCTTTTCACTACCGTTACTTTTCTATTTCCTGTTTTGTACCGTCTATTCACCTGGGTGGTGCTGAGGAAAGCAGATGTAAGATACTATTATTAACGTTTGCTAGGAGCGGCGTCTATGGCTAAAGCTAAGCCATGATTGATATATTTGTCCTTTTACTGTCTGTTATCTTTGGTCACCTTACCTTACCTTGAGGTTACCTTGAGGTGCTTCCGGGGCTTAGCATCCCCGCGGCCCGGTCGTCAACCAGGTCTCCAGTAAGTTGAATTCTTCGGACATAATATCTATCTTTTAAGAACCACGTCAAATAGATACACGATCAATCGGGTAACAGCACACACCAGACAAAATATTACAACTCTCCGTCTACATAAATCTGGGAGGCTCTGTGTGTTGTGAATCACGTCATTATTCCCTAACATTTACACAAGCGATTAGAGGATACAAGTTTTCTCTTGCTCGACCATTTTTGGAAGCTCAGCAGTGTACCATTATCTTGCGTGACGAGCGATCTGAACACGATCTAATGAAGCTGTGACCCCTGTTGCTGTTGTTGTTTTAGATTCAGTTACTGGGAACAACAAGTTCCAAGTAGCACGGTCTATGGTGAGCCCGTAGTGGACTTATCTGGCACAGGAGCGGGGATGTGTATTGAGCTGTAACCCCTCACCAGGGCTCTGATGAAGCTTTCTTTTAATTTCCGTATTTTTAGGTATATTTTATAGTTTTGATATTTGTCGTGTTTTAATGTGTCCGTCTAAGCTTTAACGTGTCTTCCTCTGTGTCTGTCTACGTCGTCACATGCTCGTCACCCTACGTCTTCACCCCCCCCCCCCATCTACCCGTCCCGGCCCTGAGCCACCCACAGGTGTATTCTGTCCACTTGTATATATATACTATACACCTATACACTAGTGTTTCTCTACACACACACACCCGTTCGTCATTCCACCCACCTGTGTCTCCACCCAGCCGTCTGTCTAACCTCCCACCCGTCAAATGAACAGTCACATTGATGCCACTCCCATCAGTTGACGGAAATAAACTTTGAAGGGGAGGAAAGGTGCCAAAAAAGGCCCATATAGGCTTCCCGTGGCACCCGGGGCCAGAGCCAAAGATACATCAACATGGAGCCAGAAAGGGGAAGTTAAGGGAGGGGGGGGGGTGCGGTAAGTGTAAGGGAGGGAGACACAGAGAGAGAGGGAGAAGGGTGAGGAAGGAGGAGGAGGTAAAGAAGAGTAAGAAGCAAAGTAAACAGCGAGGTAAGATAAGAGAGATGAGAATTAAGAAGAGATGTAAGAAAGG